GAAGTGATCTGCAGTTTACTCAAGTATTTAGCTCATCACCTGAAAGATTTTCTTAGCAAGGGTCCATCCTGTTGACTTAACATCTATAGTCATGAGATCAATAAAAGCGTTCCCAGATAGAGACACAACTTAAGTATTGCTGAGTGTAAGGTAACAGTTCTTAATGCTGACACAACTCGTGCAGGTTTTTATAAAAGCCAAATTAATCAATAGTCTTTTGTATGCATTCCCCTTCTTCACTCAAGGGTTTAGTGAAATTTGTTGCAGACTCTGGAGCTATGAGTGTCTGAGTCTGCTAAATACATTCCCCCAAACTCAAGGGACTCCCTGTACAGTACCTGCTATGGGCAATACTTACACAAAGAACTACATGGGACTACACATTAGGAGATCAAGAAAATACTGTAAATACTTTTACAGACCAGAGAATTGAACCACACAAAGCTGCATTTCTAAACCATTAATCCATCAGATAGCACAGCTCTTCTGAATCCCAAAGAGATCAGAGTTTTTCAAGTTATGTTGCATCCTGAAATACCCACAATCAAAAACCTTCCGTATGGGATACATTTACCTCTCCATTATTTCAATACAGGTTCCTTGAACAGGTAACAAAATCATCACTACCCTGAAGTACTAGGCCCTAAACAGGGACCAGTGTCTGGCCACCAAAATTGCAGAGAATAAAGAAAAAGTTTAAAAATCTCTTTTTAAGCAAGAATCCTAAGAAAATCTATCAGTTGAGACAGGAAAAACTCTGCATAGACTTCACAATATAAAGGGCAGCACGTAGAGACCCAAAGAAGCGCCTGCATCTCTAAAGATCTCTTTTTTTTTTTTTTCTTTCTTCACTGAGCTATTCCCAGACAGCCCAACAAAAAGATGCTTCCATAAAACATTCATAATCCTTGCTTTACAAACTTTCTGGCTTTGAGAGAAACATTCTTTAATGGCTACATTTTCACTGGATTAATTCGTAGGAGGTAAGAGAAAGCTAGTCAAGAGAATTACAACAACATCACAAAAGACTCAGGTACATTTTGATCTGGATTCCCCCTACTTATTAACCACTAAAAAAGAGAAAGAAAAAAAAAGAAAAAAAAAAGCCCGCACTCTCAAAATAGATCATGGTTCTTAAGTGACCCCTGTAAAACTTGCAAGCCATAAGACATGCACTTGAACACCGAATCCTTTCAACCTATATGCTACGCTTTGCATGACTAGGCAGTGGTAGAAAAATGCCACCCAATAAGAAATGAAAGCACTAGAGACCCAAGAAGAAATGAAGAAGGGAAGAGATTAACAAGTAAAGGAACTGGAAGGACTTGTAGTAACTTGATCTTCTTCAATGCTCATCTGCACTGAAAGCAGCAACCTGCACTGACACCATGCTCAGCTTGTGCCTATGCAAATGTTGAATCAACTTCACTCAAACCTGAGTGTTTGTTATTCAAATAAGTATTCAAGTGCTCAGGTAGAGGTCTGACCATTTTGAGCAAAATGAATGAAACTCAAAGCTTAGGCTAATTCAGTGCAGTTCTCCCACACATACATAAGATCCAAGACAGAGATTCATGTGGAGTCAGATCTGAACTTGCACACTCCATCTTCCCAAACTTCCGCGTGAAGAAACTTACTCTGACAGAAGTACACAGAACCACTGACTTTTTTTCTGAAGCCTAAAGAGTCAGGACAGACATTTAAAATAAGTCTTATTTCCAAGACTGTTCACAGATGTGAAACTTAGCTCCTTTCATGGCAAAGCAGCAAAAACAATTTTCACATGAAAAAAATTTGTTTATGTTATTGCATTAATACAGAAATATTTGTTGTGCTTTTAGGAAGAACCCAACTAGACAGGCAACCCAAAACACTGTTGTGAAGGGTTTCACATCAACTAACGAACAGTACCTCAATTTATTATGGAGAAGAGATTACTTAGCTGTACATAGTTTTTATGGGCTAGCAGAAAGCATACAAATTAAATCCATTCATCTTTGCTCATGGCAAGTTATACCATGCACTAAATATCTCTATGATAAAAATTTACCTTTGTCCCATATGCAACGGGAATCCATCTCACAAGCACATATGGAACGCTTGCCAGCTCCTCTTAGGAGGAAAGTCATTAGCAGTTAAATGAAGACATGCAGTCATCTACTTCTCAAGACAGTGTCCAACAAAAAGGCATCTAATTACCCCTAATAACAGGCTAGGAATTTTGATTGCAGCTGCCCAAAAATGGGGAATAATGGAATTTCCAAATAATAGGGGGGGTTGGGAAAAATATTTCTTCCTGCTGCCAAAGAAAATAAAAACACAGTAATGAAGACATGAATCTGTTTCTGTCCATGGCTCATAGTAAAAGACACATGAATCTAAAGAATGTTATCTTTAGACCTTTCCCCTGTTTCTCCCCCTGGCCTTCCATGTACTTGCCGATGCATTTCAGACTGTCACTTACATGCACCATTTTCCATATTTCTGTCTGTAACATTCAAAAATTAAGGTATGCATTAGAATACAAAACTCTGAAAACCCTTTTACTAATGAAATTTAAGAATGTGGATCACAATGCTAAGAAGATTAATAAATACAAATTGGTTACATAATTTTAAAATAATACTATCAATTCAGGAAATAATTTAAGGAGTACTCACTCTTCTCACTCACTTCTTCCACTAGGTTAATGGCAAAACTCCCACAGACTTCAGAGACAAGGTAGAATACACATTGGAGAAAAATCTTTAACATGAGTTATTAAAACAACATTAAACATCAGATCCCATTTACGCATGCCGTTAATATTCAACTTATCAATCTTGCATGTTTTACTTTTCCAGTACCGCTTGCAAAATTAACTCCTCAAAAAAACCCCAAACCATTTAAAATAAAACAAAACACTAATAAAAGCTTTGACAGTATTTGTACTTCTGTAGATGTCTACTTTTAGAATATAAAAGTAACCTAAAGATACGGATCCCAGAGATAATGCTAAAAGCCCCAGCTTTAACATTATCTACATGAAGTAAATGTGACCAAGAGCATGATTCAGCCAAATGTTTCAATATATCATTAAAGTCAGGCTTATGCTGAAGTCCTTTCCTTTTTCAACAAAAAATACACAGGACTATGTTTTAAGTGCTTTGTTGAACTGAGGCCCAAGTTCTAATTTCCTTTATTTATCTTAGATAGAAAATGGCTAAAGGAAAGGGTCAAATGCTGCAATAGTTAGGTTACGGGTTTAAGGACATTGAAACTGCTGCTAAGAATTGCCATGGGAAGAAAAGAGAAGTAGTTTAAGGATGGAAGTAATGGGAGGAATTCAGGCGCTTTAAGATAAAGTGTAAACAAAAGCCGTTTAGCTTATTTCTCCCATCTTCTCCCTGCCTGCTACAAGCTTCCATCTTTCTAGTTTTTATTTTCTCAAGTAAAACCCAGAGAGAATATAGGCACAACTAATGAAATGAAATGATAAGTAAAGAGACAGGCTGCACCAAAGCCACCCCAAGCAGGATGCAGGAATCAGGCCCTCATTGTAGGAGGATGCACCTAAAGATCTAGTAGGATATTTATCTCCAGCTCCTGCGAATCCACAGCTTATTATGCTGCCATAATGCTTGAAAATACACCCCTTCCAAACAACTGTGGCTTGTAACTAAGGAAACAGAATTGCTTTTTTTAGGGAGCAAAGGAGAGCGCAGCAGTTACTTGAATAACAATTCTTTCTCCACAGTTATCTAATTCTCTTATGGTCAAATACAGACATCGCTCTTAACACCCCCTCAGATCTTTGGTAATCATTAAAGCTTCACTTAGGAGGACACTACACACATACCAAGACCAGAAGTTCCTCACGGAATTAGGATTTTTTTTTTTAATTCCCTTCATCAAAGCCTTACAGCAGACAACAACAAAGGCACATCTGCCAGCCCTGTGCTCCTTGTGGCAGCAGACAGCCACGATCAAGAGTAGTGCTTTGGACTGACACTACTGTGCTTGACAGCAACTCCTAGGCAATTCCGCAGATCAAGAAACCTAACACCAGCACCATGCAGAGAGTCTTTACAAACCAAAGTATTGGCATAAACAGGGGTGGAAAGGGAAACCTAGGTAAGATTTCTCAGGACTTGAACTGTAATCATTCAGGCATTTTGGTCCTCACTAAAGCCTAAGGGAGGCCTTTTTACTATAGACACATAAAGATGAGAGCATCCTGTATGACTGAGCAGCAATACTGAAGGAGCAACACAATCACACTGAGATAGAACATACCTAAATCAGTGTCAGATCTTACAGGATTATTCTATAGTACCCCGATTCAGAATTAAAACTGCTATTGTAAAGAGCTTCTATTTCTGTGCATATAAAATTAACTACAAAGAACAGGAAACATCAGCCTCTCAACATCTTCAGGCCTTCTCACTGAAATCAGAAAAGATCAGCTTCAACTTCAGCAGCTGACTCTATGGACAGAACCGTTTGAAAGTGGTACAGCTTGGGTTTAGGTAGCTCTGACATAACCAACCCCATAGTGAAAGACATTAGGTATGTACATTTACCACAACAGGATCATGAAACCATATAAACATACTGGAAACTGAGAACTATGCTTTTGTTAGGGATCACTGGATGCAAAGATATGTGCAAAGTGCAAGATCAATGAAGGCAGAGTCTAATAAAAAATTAGTTCTCCACTGAACTTGACTGGGACAGATATTCCACTTAGAGATGTGGGAGGACACTGTCATGGAAAGCTGAGGAGGCTTCTCAGCAGCTCTTTTCCTTGCCCCAGATGCAAATACACTTTGTCTCACAGCAATCCAAGATCTGGAAACCTTAATCATACAGTTCTTCAACAGCGCTTACAGTAGCTGTGCGCTCTGGCCTTTAAGTTGTGGCAATACAAGAGGGGAAAGTCAGGTTGTTACATGCTCAGATGACGCCCTTTGATTAGGCTGTGTTACAGAAGATCTCAGATGTGCACATTTGCATTGCAGAAGAGAATTTGTGAAGAAACTGGAAGTTCATACTTTGGCCATCCCTGGATATAAACAGATTTATGAACGGGAGGATTTGCATTCCCTGTTCCCCACTCAGACTGTCAATAAGCTTATCGCCATCGCTGTCTGAGCTGTGTTCCTAGGAACTCCAAACCACAACCCGGCTGGTAAAGAGGGTCTTTTGTTTATCAGCTTTTGAAAAGTCCTCCTCCTCAAAGCTGCACATGGTCTACACTAACTGCTTCATGCGGGAGGACAAAAATGCAAGCAATTTTTATACAAAGATTGAAGAGATAGACACTGTGCATGTGAAAGGAAAAGCAAAGAAAAAACAATGTGAAAGGGAGGGAAAGAAAAATAAAAAAGTACAACAGAGAAATGATCATTTCCATCCTAACACACACATAAATATATATGCATTCTTTTATGCAACTCTCAGCTATCTTTACCACGTCTCTATTATAAAAAGTGATTTCCTTCCTACCTCACTCCCTCTGCAACTCTAACTGGACACAGCCTAGGACACACCTGCACCTGGCACCTGTCCTGCTCTTTTAAATAGCTCTCGAGCCCCAGTCCATGGGGCAAGATTTTAGCTGAAGATGAAGTCAGCCTCATGTTCCCCACACCAAGGTCACCTCGATGAATTGTTGTTCTGTGACACAACAGACCCACACTGACCCAATACTTCTAAAAAAGGGAACTTTACAACACATTATTTCACAAAGACATCAGGCAAGCATCTGCACAGTCCAATTTTAGCTAGAGGACAGGCAATTTTTTTTTTTTTGGACTGGGGGAAAGGAGAAGGGATTTAATTTCTAGCTCTCCCAATAATATGAAATACAATAGCATTATGGTCTATCCATTGATAAATTTGTTTCATAACCTCAGAAAACATTTTTGAAGGGTCATTATAGACATAGTCACTTTTGAATAGATATGGAAGACTTCAGATTATATACACAAATCTGAGCTTCCTCAAAAAATTTATGAGAAGGGTGAAGAGGCCAGCATGATACATGCATGCAACACTTCTGAGTAAGCCCTGGCTCAGCCGCAGAGCAAAGGGCTTACCAAAAATTTCCAGCTAACGTATAAATACGTTTGTATGACTACATACAGGGTAAAACATGCTGAGAAGCTATAAAAAAAAAGCTAATGAAATGCAGACATTTTAATCACCATTTGTCTCCACAGAGATAGAGATAACACCTCTAAATAAGTAAAGTACATCATATTAGCATTATGTTCAGCACAACATAGCCACATGCAAAAAGCAGAAAGCAGCACAGCATAAACTGTTCCAAAGTTTATTTGAAGGCTAAAACTCAATTGCTGCAAGTAAGTGTGCTGAGGGTACATCTACTTTAACAGAGTGGAACAAAACAGCACAGAAAGGCTTTGGTGGTCTAAGTTGCTCCTCAACACAGAAGAAATTTATTTCTTTAACTCCTGTTAACCCTTTGTGGCACCGCAAGAACTAAAGCTGTGCTTAATTCAAATATTCCTTCCCTGTGCTCTCCAGGTTCATTCAGGGCTTACAGGGAAGGAGAGGGAATACAAGAGATACAATTTACACTCTTCAGTTCAACCTCAAGCCTCTTTTTTGGCCTTCTGCCTCTTTCCCAAATAATAAAACAAATGATTCACTTATTTAGGACCTTCTTGCTAAAAATAGTAGGTCAGTCTGCTTAATTGTGTTAGCTGAAACACAAACATGTGAAAAGGAGAGGGTTTTGTAGGAAAAACATTGGAGAGAGAAGAGGGTAAAAAAAAAAAAAAAGTTACATTTCATTGGCCTTCCCATCATCACTCGGAGAATTGTTTTGTAGTTACATCATCAGGAAATAAAATACTATCCTCCGCGGACCCCGACTCTTTACAGAAGGAGAGGGGGAAGAGAAAGAGAGCGAGAGCAGGAGAGAGGGAGCAGCCTTATGTTCGTATCTCCCTTTCAGGAGTTCGGTTAAATTCACTTTTTTTTTTTTTTTTTTTTTTTTTTTTTTGTCATACACGCATAAAAAAAAAAGTATGAAAGGAAAGCTCCTTTTGGGCAAATTAAAGAAGATGACCTTCAAGTTAGTTCTTCTCATCTTCCCTCAGAGGTCTAGGCTGGGAAACTAGAGCGGAAAACACTCGAGCTAATGAGCCAGCACCTCTAACGACTTCATTATCGGTCCCAGAAAGGGGCTGCCCTCACCCAAACTTTCTTTTTGGCGGTGCCCGGGGGAGCCAGGCGCAGCGTTTCGCGCCGTCCAGGAGACGCTACTAAACTCTCGAGGTTTAGCGCCCTTCGGCTCCAGCTAAAGGGCCGCTCGGAGCCGGCACAACGCCGCGCTCCTTATATGGCAAAGGCAGTGACGTCATGCGCCATAGGCTTGGAGCACGCCGAGCGCTCCCGCTCAGTGTGGGCTGCCAGCGCGGGACCGCTCGGATGCTACCGGAGAGCCCCACGCACGGCGGTGGCAGCTTGGCCACTGGTCCCCGAGTCCTGCGGCACCAGGTAAGGCGGTGGAAGGTGGCACGGCCACGGCGTCCAGCTGCTCCCTCCGCTTCTTCCCTTCGGAGATGGACATAGCATTACGTACGCTAACTGTATTTAAGGAGGCTTTAAAAAAGATATAACTAAAGGGAAAAAAAAATACAAATAAAAACAAACGGCTGCCACGGCATCTAGCTGGCGCCCTGCTGCTCCAAAGCCGGACAGCTGCCGATTGGGAATTAACACCTGTATTTTAAACCATTCTCACAGGGGCTGATGGATGAGTTCACGTTAAAGGAGGAGGCAGTTGGGGCTACGCGCACTTTCAAAGCGGGGTGGGTAAATTCACGACTGCATTTAACACTGTGGAAAGAACCCAGCTGTATTTCAATTAATTAGGTAGAGCCACTGTCTCGCTCTGTGCCTTGTTTACACGCGTATGCTGCCTATTAGCAGGCGTGCACACATATATGTCTTTGAGCACTTAGGGTACTTCGGAATGACTTTTACTGCAGCTTACAGAGGGACATACAGATTGACCCAAATGTTGTTTTGCAATTAGGTTATGCTGTGTTTGAAGCAAACACGCGTAACTAGCTTAATCACTAACAAACTTTCCAACTCCTACACGCTGCTTCCCTCTTCTGTGTCTTGTGTGCAAGTGTCAAACACAGGGTTGGGCGGCGGGGGGGAAAGAACTGTCAGGTTTTGGCAAAAGCCCTGAAACATCGGACAGCAAACAAGTGACGAGGTTTTAAAAAGCTGAGAAAATTCCTAGCCTCTCCAAGGCTGAGTCTTTTGGATGCCCAACTGCTGCACTGAGAACTGAAAGCAGCGTTGAGCAGGCACTGAGCTGCAGCAGGTTTAGGCTTCAGATCCTCATCCTACAGACTCCTCTCACTTGATTAAGGACCAAACCCTATCAAATTCTTCTTTTTTTCTGTAACTACCATTAATCTGATGCCACTTGCAAGTGTTGACTACTGAGCACTGCTTTCCAGAGTCTTATGCATACTTTGAAATGTTGTGAAAGTTAGACTTCAAGACTGCCAAACTCAGGCTATCTCTTCTCAAACAGTAAGAAGAAAGATATGTTTTTGTTGTATTTTCCTTTAACTTTTCATAATATGAAACAAAATTGGTATAAACTGGTAGCACAGCTAGCAGAAAGATTTCTGTTTTCTTTATTCGTTGTTTATCATCCTGTAAAATTCTTATTCTGATACATATTTAAGGAAATTTAAGGAAAACTGATCCTGATATATATTTAAGGAAAACTGAAAAGGGTACAATCGTATGTCTTACTGTACTATCAAACAGATATAGATTTAGAGATTAAGAACCCAAACACTATCTGTGAATATTTTCACTATTTTTTTCTACTTTAAACAACAAAAAATTATACAGTAGATATTTTCAAAACATGATTCTAGAAACCCAACTATATATAAACACTCTACTTCAAAGATAAATCAGATCTCAATGTATTATTAACCTTGGCATTTAAATAAAGGTCCACATACCCGTGTTTTCAAGATAACTTTTTCTTCTAATGAGCAAAGTTCGCATTTTTATTGCTCCTTTCAGTTTGCCTGGCTATAGACTCAAAAGGAGGCACTACATTGATATATAGGGTAAAACGAATCCTGGCAACCAGAACAAATGGAAGTTTATGTTAGAAAACAAATAGCCCGGATCAGGACCCCAAGCCAGTATAATGTCTTTGCCTTGCTATTCTGCCATGCCTATAGACATGCAACCTACAGCAAAATAATCATTTATGAGGAAAGAGATCTGAAAAAGGGTTTAGAACATCTTATGTCCAGTGCATTTAATACGTAATAAATACACTGTCAAGTTGTAAAGTGGAAGTGTTAGCTACGTGACAAAAAGATTAAGTTACAAAACAAAGTTAAGTAAGACCTTCAAAAATTGTCTCTGAAGAGCGAGGATGAACTAAGTAAAAGACTAAAATTTGACAAAGAAAACACACCACTATGGAAATAGTGCATATGCAATAGAAAACTTATTATTTATTTGATAAAGGTAGTAACTGAAAATAGAAAGAAGCCACTCTTAGTTAAGAGACTATTTCAGCTCTTCCAAACAGAGAAGGAGGGCTCCATAACCATTAATTACTGCTTCTGCAAGGTTCAAATTACCGATTGTATTGTGAATGCTGCTAGCCTAACACGAATCATAACATCTAACAAAAGCTTACAGAACTTCACTTCCCACAGTATACCTAGCACAGAACTAAAGGGAAAAGATGCTTCACGTAATACTTACAGCACCACTTTTGCTGTCATTTATGCTGGTAAAAGTCCAAAGCACACTGAAGTATAATCATAAATATGCCTTGCTGCCTTTTTATTCAGTATTACCTAGTCACAGCATAATACTCTAACTTCATCACAGATTTCTTAATACATATTTAGAATATCTGATGCAAAGCAAGTAAAAATTAAATAACCTTGAATCTCTTAACAGTCAAAACACAGAGGAAAATAATTATCATATATTTCAAAAACTGTATGTCTTCATTTAAACTTATTTTTATAATAACTTTTTACAATATGCAACATGAAGAGAAAGTATTTCAAGAACCAAGTATCTCCTGCAGGGATGCCAGTCACTTTTCGATC